TTCTTTAACTAACTATTATGTTGTATGAACGTATATATATGCAAAAACTTACTCCAACAATTTAAATATAAAGTACATACAAGTATAATAAATTTATTCGGAAATACCGCATTTACCAACATTTCATTCAGTTTACCTTGAATCCATAATAAATATAATATGTTAAGCTTCACCATTTCAATTTATCTATTCAACCATTAATTCTTTCTTCCATTCATTTTATTCCAGTTTGTATGTATGTACATATTATATGAGATGTGATTCTAATTGGAAAAAAAAACTTGTCCAGCTATAAAACAAAAAAACAAAACAAAATCATTTTAATTATAATAATTTTGTAGTTATAAAAGCAAATTAATTAGCATTAATATTCATCATTTGCGACCAGACTTCCAAGTGACACGGAGACCCAAAGACAACAAAAAATATTTTCATCTCACTTAATAAATTAGTTGTTTGTTTTCTTTCATAAAACATGTTTTTGAATTAAAAAGAAATCTTATTAAAAAAATTTTTGCTTTCCTACGTAAGAAAAATTTCATTTTACTAAGAATAACTTATAAACTATTTTTCATTGGCCATCATAGACATTTACTTTAATTAGTTTAATTTTATGGGAGACAAAATTTTATGGTTTTGCGTATCGGTGGTAGCATTCAACTTTTTGAGTAATAAAATTCTAATTTTTTTATTAGAATTAGAGATAAGAAGAAAATTTTGTTGAAGTTTAATATTTGAGAGAAATTAGGGTGAAGTTTATAAAAATTAGACCTTGGTCTTTAAGGGAAAAAATTGGAGAACTTAAGAAGCACAAAATAAATAATTATTCTTGAGCAGCATTTGATTTATAAAGTTCTTAAATAAGTTTAACAATGATTCAACAACTAAGATTACGCAAACATTAAAATTATTCTTTGAATGATGGTTATTTAAGACCGCATGTTAGTTGAATCTGTTATTCAATTTTTCATTTTTTCATGTACTTTAAAACCACAAATGCGGTTTTTCACTTTATATTTCATCACAGACAACATTTTGTTATTTTGCTTCAGTAGAAATAGTTATGAAAATTATTGCAACTTATGCTGCCACCTCAATTTTTAAATGAATAATTACTTACATACGTGCCACTATTTTAATTATTACATTCATAGCAATTATTGTTACATTTTTTAAAACAGTGAAACAAAAAATAAGTAAACAGATTTCTGTTAGTCTAAACCAACGGAATTATACCCTGCAATTTGAACAAAAAAACTTATTATTGAAATATTTAAAATTTTATTTCAGTAACTCAAACCTATCAGATTATAGTTCTTCATTCCAGAAGAACTATAATCGGCACGTAATTGCCAAGTATCATGAATCTAACTTCATTATTTTTCTGAATATTTAATATTAGCTTTTGTAGTTGTATATCAGCTCCCCAAAACTGCTCAGTCGTTCCATAAAAATTTCCAGAAAATACGTAAAACCTAAATGTATGCTTTATTCGTTTTTGAGTTATCGTACGATTGGACAGGCGGACATGTCTAAATTAACGCAAATTTTCACACTGAGTATACACAAACGACTCCTTCAAGTGGTTACTAACTCCACACCAAAGTTAATATATCGTTCACGAATGCGTCTAACTCTTAAGTTAAGACTAAAGGTTCTTGAATAATTAGCATTTGCCAAAGCTTGAAACGCATATTTATTACATTTCTTAAAAATTGAATATAAGAGTGTTTGTCCTGGAAAGTTCCTGAAAATACTCTGCCTCTTATTGATTTGTATCAAAATGTATACATAATATAATAATTGTATATGTTCTGATTGGCTTTTGATACATTTTTTACCAAAAATTAGATAGAGTGGGAAGCAGTGAATCATGAGTCATGACAATAATTTACGTATGAAAGCCATTAAAAATGTGTGTGTCAAAAACACTGTGGATATTGTTTTTTTTAGTTCTGTGTAGATTTTTTTTTTTTGTTCTTTTACTTGTTTCCACAATACAACAATTCTGTTAATTTATTAAAATTGAACAAATTTTCATTGTCACATTTTGTCGACAAAGTTGCAGAGTTTTGTTTACAAAAACATTTCTTGCATGACTGCGTTATCAACATCATAGTTCTTAGAAGAAAACTGAAAGAAATGGTAATTGTCATTGATTAAAATAAAGTTTTCTGAGCGCGTTTTTCAAAAGTGAAATTCATAAATTGTCAAATCAATTACAAATATATATACAATATACATATATAGATTTATTAGACTGACCTTAGTCTAACAAATCATACATTGAATGTATGAATGATAAAAAAAACATAAATTTGTGTCAAAATTTCAACAAAATAATTTTTTTTTATTTTAAATCTGTTTCTATTTCTTTAACAATCATGAATTGAATATGAAAATTTTTTTTAAATAAAATCGTTTTCTGCATACATAGTAACTTTAAATACCATTATTAATAATGGTTACTAAAAACTAATTATATGATTGTGCTCCGGCTCACCAGCACTCAAATTTATTATGTAAAAAATTGTTGATAGACATTTTGATTGACATTTCAAGTAGAAATTTTTTTTTAATTTTCATATTAGGGTTTACAAGAAAAATAATTTTATTTGGAATAAATTTTCTTATCATTTCCATTTTTTCAAATTTATTGGCTGTAAGTGATTTGAATATCAATAACTTTTAAAAAACTTTTATTGTAACTACGTTAAGTAATAATTGCATTTATGCGACAATGTCATTGTGTAGGTTTTTATTAAAAGAAGTATTAATACCGAATTACCTACATATGTGCACCTGCGTGGTAAATTTAAGCTTTACATAAATATTTAAATTTATGCAAATTTAAATTAACTTGCTCAATAGAGCGCTATTCAATCTTTGTTAAATTCGTCATCTTTGTGAATTTTTTAATTAGCGATAATCCCCTACAATCATAATTGATATTTGTACATACAAATATGAATCAAACAGTATTAAAATTAGTTTTGAATAAGAATTGGATTTTAAAAGTATTTTTACTTAAAAGCACTCCCGTAAGATTTAAAGAGTTCAATAAATTCGAATAGAACTTCAAAATTTCTCATATAACAGTTTTGAAAATTCTTTAAAAATTTTAAAGTCATAGCAAGAATTCTAAACTTTGGAACGCCACGTCTGGCATGCTGTGCTGTCATTTAAGCTTTAAAGTGAACTCTTAGTTTGTTTTTGTTTGCGTTGCGCCTGTACCTGTTCTCCATTACTTAAAACTCGAATAATTGAATTAAAATTTTCTTACGATTTTTAAAGCGCCTCTTTACTTCTGTGTCATAGTTAATATCTCAGTTCTTACCCCGTATACAACTACAAATTTTCGTCAAATTCAACTGAATAAATGAAAAAAAATGTCAACTATGTTAATAAATTATTGTTTATTGGCAATATTTTTTCTTATGCTGCAATTTCGTAAGTTTAAAAACAAATTTTTCTTTTACCTTTCTAATACTATCTATAGCAACATACTTAGCATAAGTACATGTGTATATTTGCATGTACGTATATTTCATAATTTCATAGACATACTTACTTTAATACCCTCACATTTGAATTTTCTGAGATGACTTTACTAACATACTTTTAAAACATTTCGTGGAATTTTAATTATTTAAAAAGGTTTCTTATTTAAAAAACATTTAATATCAAGAAACTTAATTAAGTGAGCAATAAATAAAAATTTCTTTACAGTCTTAAATATTACCATGGTAATTAAAAGCGCAGCACCTGCATACCTGCATACATTCATTTATAAAACAAACAATATCATAACATAAAAACAATATTTTATGTTCAATAAATGCCAGAAAAACTTCTTCTAAAATTGGCTAGAGAAACAAAGAAAAATTCCTTATTTCAATAAGGAAATATTAAAAGCGACATGAGAGGCATGATATTAAATATGAGATGGTATAAAGTCATTACTGTAATTACACTTACATTACTCTTACATTTTACACATTATTTTATTTTTTACTTCCAAATATAGAAGTGTATGCCAAGCGAATAACCATATGGCGCTTTAAAAACACGTTACTAAAATTTATAGTAGCTATGATGCAATTTTTCAAAATTTTAATTATATGTTTATATGTAGGTAATCAAGTATTTATGACTCAAGTTGGTATTCAACACACTATGGAATTGACATCTTTAACTTTTTGATAACGTAGAACAACAAATTATGGAAAGGTATCTGTAAATTCTATGTTAATACCGTTTAATAAGATATGTATTGGAATTTGTCACCATTTATGATGATGTTTATTTGAAACGTGAGCATAAGACGCAATTTTACTCAACCACGTTTAATAAATGAAATTTTTAAAAGTAAAATTTAATCAAATGAATCCTAAGAATGAATAATTGATGCTATGTTTTTCGCATATGAGCTTATTGCAAGACGATCCTAAAGCTATTCCTTAAGCTTCACGATAAAAGAAATATTTTCGTCCTCCTTTTAACAAATTCACCATTTCTTTATATAAACTAAACAAGTAGAATTATTATACAAAACATAAGCGAGGAAAGTTGTATTTGTAAATAATATAAGGTCACAAATGAAGTAATTTGTAAATCTGTTATGTGCCCAATTTTCATTCTTCTATTCTTGTATTGATTTTGAAGTGCTTATTGCATTTGCACTGAATATGAAAAATTTAATCAAGCGAATTTATTCAATTTATAAAAAATTTGTTATTTTTGAAGGTAGTGATTTCCAGCATCTTATTGAATCCTTTTTGTTTTACAGAAAATCTCAAATTTCTTCTTATAGCAGAACTAAGTTTCGTTTATCCTTTTACATTATAACAGAATTTTGTTCCATCTCGCAGTTTTTATACGTTATAGGGAAATTTCAAAACAACTCTCAACTAAATTTCTTAATTCCTTTTTCTTTATTACCTTAAATTTTAAAACGTTATCAACAAAAAAATAAAAAAGTTTTTTTTTTTAATTTTCAGGTTATACATGGTGTTCACACAGAACCAGCTCATATAATAAGGAAACGAAGCATAGAACAACCATTAAGGATAACACTGTTTTATGATAATTCTGTATACAAGTAAGTTTCTTTAAAAATAAAAACTAGGTATTTTTGGTGTTCTTCTTTCTTGTTAAGCAAAGAAAATATTTTTTGTATCCTGCTGGTTGTATTAAAATAGTTTTCGTGTATGTACTTAAATTTGTTCAATTATTATGCAAGAAAAAAAAAAGGATAAATAGCCAGCTGGTAAAGAACACAAAATGTTATGAATATGAAAAAAATTACGGAGGGTTTAGAACTTGTGTTGTACTCTTTTTTCTTGAAGGTTATTTCATATTTATATGAAAATTATGAATCACAAGGTTTGAGCTCACCCCAGGTTTTGAATTTATAAATTTAATTTAAAATACAAATTGCATATTAAAAAATTGTAAAATTTATTTTTCCTAAAATTTGTTTTTGGATTCAGAGAAATAATTTTGGTATGCAGAATTTTTTCTGTAGGTCTTATTAAACCTGTTTTTCGGTTTGACTCAGAGTAAGTTAGCTCAAATCGGTTATAAATATTGTGAATGAAAAATTAAAGTAGTAGGGCAAAAACTAAAAACACTGGTAAAAGATGAATTGAGTGTTTAATTCTTTAAGCTTGAAGCTACACCTCTTACAGCCATAATTAGATTAATCACTTGTAAGTAAAAAAAGATTTTGTTCGAAAATGTTAAATTTTGAGTGTGTTCTGTCAAATATGTCTCCAAAGTTACATTTTTATATTAATTTCAATAAAAAAATTCATTCCGCTCTTATCATTTTTTCATACACATGACAAAATAATGAAAAATCTTTATTTTATTTTTGTTTAAAGTAGTAAGGCAATATAAATTTTGCGGCAGTACACGCAAGCATTCCAAAAGTTATAACCCTTCTAAGTTAAAATTCGAAATAAAATTTAAATAAGTAGCTACTCGTATTATAAACAGTTACATGGTAAAGCTTCTTATTTTATAGGTCCTATAGTAAAAAACATTTCGTTATCCTCAAATACAATAAAATATTCAAAGGTTTGAATGTGTTCATGGTATTCAATTTACAATATGAAACAATTTACCTATTTCTATAAAGCCGGATTTTTTTTTACTACCGCAATTTGGTTTTTTTCTTGATAAAAAAATGTGTAATGGATTCCGAGAAAAAATATTGTTAAAGAGTACACCTCTTAATAAAAACTTCAAGAGAACAATATACTTATGTACATTGGGTAGTGCATAGCTTCCATATTACTAAATACATATACATGAAAATACCTAAATATATTTTTTGTTTCATGGAAATTTTATAGTTTTAACAGCGCAAATTATTAAAAAATTTATTTTTTTTTTCTTCTATTTTTAGATTGGATTATCAAAAATTCGAATTAATAAATGTAAGTATAAAATTTAATAATATTTTTGTTAATAATGTAAAGAATATGCTTGAAATTGATCAATTCGTCAATTAGCTTAAGAGGTTTTGAATAAAAAATATATATATACAAAAACAATTGGCACAATAATGAGGAACTCCTGTGCAATTTCTTTAGGGTTGTCTTCGAGTATTTAGTTGCGACCGGAATAATATAAGAGTGAATATGGAACAGTTATGATTACCCATAACTGGCTCCGGTACTCATAAGTGGAACTTTTCCTTGGTAACATATCTCTCAATGGGATTCTGCAATCTGTAATTTACAATCTCGCACAAATTGGCATAAAATATTGCCATAAATTGCCACAAATATTGGCATAAACATATTTTGTGCTACTTAAAGGGCTTTAATTTATAATGCCATGTGGAACTAATTTAAAATATTCCGTTTCCTTTTATTTTTAAGAAGTAAGTACTTTTGATCTAATTTCTATTGCTTCTTTTGTGAATTTTCAAACTAACAGCAATCTACATCTGGGCATTTTAATTCTTGCTTCCCAAAAGAAGCTTTTAAATTCTATAAAATTGTTACGTATACAATTCGTTAAAACAAAAACTTCACTTTAACGCCAAAGTTTTGTTTGAATTCTGCACAAGTTAAATAATTTATTTACTTATATAAAAAAAAAAAATACAATTTATTTCCCGATATTTTGTAATTAAATTGACTGTTAATTGAAGCTTATTAATATTCGCTTATTCCTAAAGAGCCGCAAAGAATACACACAATTAACTAGTGGTAAGAGTTTTTAATGAGAATACCAAGTAAAAAATGGAAAAACACTTTTTTTCCAATCTTTAAACATTTCAATATTTATTATCGTTATTACTTCCCCTTTATGCTTTGGCATTAAATTGAAGTGACGCTCTCATTTACATTTTACTTTGTTATTTTTTACGCCCTTCTAAGGACACTCAACTTCGAATATTTTCTTCTCTATTCAAAAAAAAAAATTCTCAAAATTTCCAGACGACTAGACAGCCACGCATAATTTCCTTCATTAGTTATTCTTTTTTGCTTAAAGCGTATTTGAAACAAAATGGTTCCTTTATAATAAAATTAATAAAATTAAATAAAAAATATTATGTAAATTTCCATATTTATTATAATAATTAAAAGGAATTCTTGACATCATACTTCCTTGCATTTTGAATATTTTTTTAAAAATATAATTGGAATAAGTAAAAGGAATAGAAAAATTCAAAAATTGAATAAATTTTCATGTGTGCCCTAAAACCTGTTTAAACAACAAATTTCACATGTCGTTTGTAGGTCACATATTATTTAGGAAATTCTTACAATCATCTTTCACACTCTTTAAAAACATTGTCAAAATATGCCCTTAATTTAAGGATGTTCTCTTATATTTGTGGATATTTTTAAAGAATTCGCGTTAAACCATTAAAATCTGGCAAGCTAACAACTGTTGTATACAGATTAGTTTCTCTCTATATGGGATTTTCCTTTGAATTTCAATACTATTTTATGGACAAAAACAAATTCTTATAAATTACATTTAAATATTAATATTAAGTGCTCGCTTTAATAATTTTATATTTTCAGAATACAATTTTACCTGAAGCTGTGGATTTTTGGCAGAAAGCTCTTATGGTACGAGAAACGAAAGGCATCATTAGGCTGAATAGGTAATAAAATTTTCCCTTTTTTTCTTATTACTCACTACCGTAATAAATAAAAACAAAATCACTGTCTACACAATGACATTTGTGAATGACAATTTATGATGAATGTCATTAATTTGATAACTAATGACATTCAAGTTGTGTATTTGTTTACGATTTCTTTAATAAATGGAGTGATTAATTAAATTTATTAACTAAATACACATTTATTAAATAAATTAAATATTTAGCCTTCTAAATAATCAGTTTTAATTAGATTTCTAGAATTTTATTATGTCAAATTTTATGATCTATGAACTTGTCATTTTAAATTATTAATTTTAGAATTTAAAAAAATATTTATTTTACAGAAAATGTGATAGCTCTCAAGTATTTGTTAAAAATGCAAAGACTCATTGTATTGATACATGCCGACCTGTTACGATGTGTGGTGAAGTTGAAGTACCAGAAATTCATTTGGATGTAAGTAATTAATTGAACATTTTATTGAATTAAAAAACTTGCGGTTTGACTTTATTTTGTGGCTTTTCCTTCTCAGATCTTACCATTTAGTTTTCAATAATTTTGTCTTAAAAGAATTTTATTTGAATAATCAGATTCAATGATGTAAATTTTTTTTATATTTAGAATTTTGCAAAAGTATTTTTAAAGAACAATCTAAAAATATTCAAGAAAAATGTGCGAAATTTAAAAATTTTATGAATGAATAATTCGAACATTGTCTGTGGTCTTTAAATTACACGAATTTTATCTTCATTTTTTACATAATGGTTTCTATAATGTGGTTTATTATGCTTTTATTTATTTTTTAGGTTTGCCGTATTTGTAATGCAACTGGTCAAAATTGTCGCATTGAACAGGGATCTACTCCTGGTCCTGGAATAGAAAATGCTGATTTTGTTTTTTATGTATCGGCACGTCAAACAGAACGTTGTCATAAAGGATTAACTGTTGCATACGCAGCACATTGTCAACAAGAAGCCGCTATGGATCGTCCAATTGCCGGTCATGCAAATCTTTGTCCTGAAAGTATTAGCACAAAACCACAAGAATTACAAACCTTACTGTCAACGGTTAAACATGAAATTTTACATGCATTAGGATTTTCTGTTAGTTTATATGCATTCTTTCGTGATGAAGACGGTAATCCAAGAACACCTAGGACCTCAGATACAGGGAAACCATATTTAAATGAAAAGTAAGTTTGTTTATGTACCTATATGGCTGCAAATCGAAGACGATAAGTTAAAGGCAGACTTTATAGAATTATTTTCCGTATGTTCCAATTCGTTTTTCTTGAATTTTGAAATTTTATAGAAATAGAACTAAATTCTAGGAAGAAGTTGAATTCATTTCAACTAATTTTCGAGGAGTTGTTCGTGTTATTCAATTAAAGATCCATTTTTCTCTTTTTACTAAAAAAATTTTACTACAATTTTCATGTTTCCATACTTTGTAAATGAAAGTGAAATAATGCTACTGTAGTTACAATCATAACTACAAATCCTTTTAATACTTTAACAATGTGCTACAAGAAGGATTGTGTAATATATAAAAATAGCAAGTTGTTACTGTGGCAGCCTATATTATTTGTACAGGCTTAAAATATTTTTGTTGTCTATATCAAAAAGAAATCAAATTGAAAAAATTGTAAATTTTTATTAAAAAACTTTTAAGTTTTCCTCATAAATTATATACATATATATGTATATTTAATATACAAATTTTTGGTAATTTTGAGATCAAAGATTTTTGGTTAAGGAATTTTTTGTTATCTTTTGAGTCGAAATATTTCTAAGAATTTTATGGAACATTGCGAGCAAATGGACTTTTTTTTCCGTTCAAAAACAAACAGAAATTAAGTAAACACTCGTGTGAACGAGAGAATTCAAACTCTTCAGGGAATCTTTTAGAAAAAATACGACATTAATTTTCATTTTTAGCTTTAAATTCTTAAATATGAAATTAACAACATAAAAATATTACAGTCATACCAGCGCGACTCTATATAATAACAACGATACACCCACTCAACAGGAAGTAAATCAAATTATGAAAAAACTTTTCTATCAAATTCTGAATGGCGTACAATAAATTGATTTCTATTTTTAAAGTAACCTAATTTAATACGAACACTTACATTTATACATAAAATGTGACATTAGAGGACGTTCACTTAAAATGTTTCTGTTCTTGAAATGAGGCTAATAGTAATTATGAAAATTTATAGGCACATTGCATACAATAAGGGAAAGAAGGTGATGTGATATACCTCAAAATCGACTGATCAATAATTTACCGAATTTCTTAATGCTTAGTATTTGAGTTCTGTTTGTCAAGAAAAGTAACTGCCGAACTTTTTAGCTACTCTTATTCATAAGGAGTCGTCCATAACCTTTTACAAAATTTTTGCAGAAGTCTGAAATATTGTTAGCAGTCGGTTACATTCTGACCACGTCAAATTTTTTTATTTTATTTTGAATAAAATTATAAATTTTTTTATTTCCTTGTAGATTGCAAATTCATCAATGGAGTGATAAAACAATACGAAAAGTTGTAAGAACTAATTGGGCTGTACGAGGCGGCTATGTTAATAAAACTCTTGATGTTATGGTAACACCAAAAGTACGTAAAGAAGTACGAAAACATTTTAATTGTCCTGAATTAGAGGGCGCAGAATTAGAGGATCAAGGTGGTGAGGGTACTGCTTTAACACACTGGGAGAAAAGAATTTTGGAGGTAGTTAAGAAATTTCCTTTGAAGTTTTTCAAAAAATATAATAACTATATTTGCCGCTATTGTATTCAATATTTTGTTCTTAGAATGAAGCGATGACAGGAACACATACACAGAGCCCAGTATTTTCACGAATTACACTTGCATTAATGGAAGATTCCGGATGGTATCGTGCAAATTATAGTATGGCACAACCATTAAGCTGGGGTTATAAACTTGGATGTGATTTTGCAATGAGAAGTTGTAAATCTTGGATTGAAAGTAATATGGAAAGGTAATATTTAAGTAAAAATTATTTCTTTTAATTGACATTATTGAATTTTCTCGGGTTCAAGATTTTAATGTATGTACAAACAGAGTACATACATACAAAGCATTCCAAATCATCATTTGAATGAAAATTAAAATTAATTATTGCACTTACATTTCAAAAATTTTATTTTTCTTAAGTTGTGTACACGATTCATAATTATCTGGTTGAATTTTTGAAATATAGGAATCAATACTTGCTAGACTATTGAGTGTAATAGATAGGCCCTGTAATAAATAGTAGATGTGGAATTCTCCAATAGCATTGTTAAATCTGCCACACTTATATTTAATTACTGAATGGAAATATTAAACTTTACATTTGGAATAGTTTTTAAAAGTTTTAGGTTCCTCACAGCAGATTCAACAATAAAATTCTATTAGATAGCTTAGATGGCTTAGAAGTACAGACTAGCAAGTATAGTAATCACACACGACTATAGTTGAATTCACAGACCACAGTTTGATCAAAACAAAATTATTATTTAATTTAAAACAAAAATGTTTTTTTTAAAAATTAATTTTATTAAATATCCACTTTTAAAATTTTAGTGGGCGTTCAATACATCCATTTTGCTCGAAAGTGAAACGTGATCCATTACAAACCGAATGTACAAATGACCGTAATTCAGTAGCTTTATGTAATTTAGTACGACATGAATATGAACTACCAAGACAATATCAGGTAAGTAATGATTTACCACATCTCATCTTTGAAGTCCAATTTGTTTCAAATTTATTTCATTTTTTATAGTACACTTTAAAATTGAAGGGTTTTTGTAACAATGATTTTGAAAACACTTTACGTTCTCAATAAAAACACTTCTGAACCCTTTAAAATATTTTTTACCATTTCAGTTTTATTTTTCATAACGAAAACAAAAAATCATGTCCTTGTAAATTATCATTTAAATTTTCAAAACCATAAAGGATAAAAATTTTTTCATCTTATTCTTGGATCTTAAATTTCTTGTGTTGATTGCGAAAGGTTTTCTGTTAAAAAAAATTTTTTATAACATTAATAAAAATTTTAAAGTAAAAATGGTTTTCGTTCAACTTGACTTTTCATTTTTCAAGGAGATGAAATTATTTTTTAAGTATGAAATTAATAAATTTATTTTGTTGTTTATCCTTAGAATTTTGATCATATAAAACATGTACCAAGAGGTCAGGAAGGATATTACGGTGGGTCGGTTTCTTTAGCAGATCACTGTCCATATATACAAGAATTTACGTGGCGTAGCAAAAATATAATTGTTCGTGGATCACATTGCCAATACCAAGACAATAATCCGAGTAAGTAAAAATTAGAAATTTTGAAAATAACGTTAAGGGCTTATTGAATATACAATTAAACAAATAAACTAACAGCGAGTCGATGAATATCTCATTCGTTGCTTTAAAAATGTCAACTCCAATTAGATATTTTACTTGTATCTACACAAAATGAAGTTACGTAAAGGTTCTCTCATACCATATCCCGTTATTACTTCAATTCCCATTATAAGTATTACCATTAATTTGTATTTTAAGTTCAAAGATTGCTTTATCTTTAATAATTAAAAAAATTAATTTAGAAAATTTCCGTATTTAAGAAATTGCACACGTGCACAAACAAAATCTTAATGTGTTAAGTATACAAAATCTTTTAGTTGCAAAAGAGTTCAAATAAGGATATTTAGATTCTGAACGAGCAAATATGTGTTTCTCTCATTCACATCTACAGTTGAAAAATGTCAAACTTTATTCATGTTCTACGTTTATCTTCAGAATGTGGGGCCTAACTAAAGAAATTGAAAATAAAATAAAAGACACACATACATTGCATTTTATATTGTAAGAAGAGAACAACAAAATGACTTTATTTTATAAGTAATTTGAACAAAACAAAACAAATAAGAAAAAAACTCCAATGTTTCTTAATTAAAGGACAACAAAAACAAAGTAAAGAAAACGCTGAGACAAAGCAAATGCCATTAAAAATACCTAGAGGAATCATCTTAATTTTGTGATCACCCTCCAAGGATTTATTCAAATACAAAAAAGAAAATATTTAAAAATAAAAATGGAAAAGGAAAGAAAAATTCAATTAAATTTTTTTTTCTAAATTAATACTAAAAAATAAAAAAATAAACGCTCCAGCAAATACAAATTTTATTTCCTTTCGTAACGTCTTGCCATTTCGGCAAATAAGTTAATTACATTTTATGAAATAAAATTTCTAACCCATCTGTGGAAGATGACATTCTCGCAGTTTTATTGTCTATTCCACCTGTTGAGCAAGTAATAAAATTAGAATGAAGGATAAATATTAAGTTTTTAAGAGTGGGGGCATATTATTACTTTTGTTCGAAACAAAACGAATTTCTTATGAATGTGAAAATTTTAGTTCAGAATTTGAATCACACTATAGGATGCAATAGAATTGAGGTACTTTAAAAATACCTAGTAACATTGCAATTTTAAAATAAATGAATAATTCCGTAATAGAATTTAGTAACTTAATTAAAGAAAATTTCAGGACATATTTTGATTTTTTGTGAGTTATTGGCTTTTGGATACAAAAAGAGATGGCAATTGGAAGAAGACTGAAAACGAGCTTTGTTAATTTTTTAACTGACTGTACTGAAAATCGTTAAATACTTTTACACAAATAACATTTCTTAAAGAGTTTTCATGAAAGTCGGATTTCAAATTAAATTGTTATAAATAGAGAAGCTTTAAAAGGTTTTTTTTTCGAAAACTGTTGCCATCTCCCCGGAAAAGTATTCTAAATTTTAAAATTTTAAAAACTGAAGTCAATTCAGTAATTGAATAAACATTTTTTTCTTTTACAGCTTTTAATTTACAATTAACACTCATTTCAATTATTTTTATACTTTTCTTTACAGAACCAGAAAAAAATTTTGCTCTTGAAGCTTACGGCCTGAATTCGAAATGCTTTGATCATTCAGAAAATATGTGGGAGGAACGTTCATGTCGTCAAACAAGAGAATGGCAACACTGGGGTTCCGGATGTTATAAATATAAATGTGAAAATGGACGTTTAAGTATTCTTGTTGGAAATTATACCTATGAATGTTATTATCCAGGACAACAGTTAACAATACATATAATGTCAAATGGTTGGTTACATAAAGGGGCAATTGTTTGTCCATCGTGTCATGAAATATGTAATGATTACTTTACAGAGCGTGGCGAACAAAATTGTCGATTAAAAGAAGAAGCACCAGTTGCTTATCAATATCCATATGATTCATTACATTGTGATGGTGTTGCCAACATTAAATATCGCAACACAAATAAATTAGAATTTTATGGTAAATTATTTATAAAAAGTATAGCTTTAATTATGTTATCATCACAATTAAATCAAGCGACATTGGGAGTTAGATAAAGAATTTCTTTTTACATTTTTTTTTAAATAAATAAAATTAATTTTAAGAGTTATACTAATTATTAATAATTAATTATTTGATAAAAAAAATATAGAAAGCGGGAATAAAACAAAATTTTCATTGCTCAAAACTATTTCTATACTACTAGAATTTAAAATTGACAGAATGTAATGTAAAACCTACAGTTTTATTTAAGAATTAGTATAATAAAACTTTTAATTTTCGACTGGAAGTAAATGTGTGGATATTAGTTTCGGAATTTGTCGCCTGTTGGTTTTGTAATTCATTGTCATAGCATAAATAATATGAGAACCAATAAAATTTTACAGAACTGCCATCTATAAATTAAAATTGTAGATTGAATGATTGATTAAAATCTCGTATTTAACGCTCGTGCATGAGAAAATACTTGGAATCGAGTATTTCATTGTTTTTTTTAGAAATGTGACCGGAAATTTTTGGCAATTATTTGTTAATGTCCCATTTACTCAGAAAAATTAATAATTTTATCGATGACCTAAAAATGAGGAACATAATTTAGTTTTAAAAATATACGAACGCAATCAAACATAAAATCTACAACTGAATATATTTCGAACTTAAATTAAAAAAGGTTTCAAATAGTAAAAAAAATTCCAATCAAATATTTGCTTTATTGCCAATTGTTTAACCACTATTTAAAGTTATTTTTCAAAATATTTTAACAATTTGGCTAAATACTTTTGGTCTACACTGTATTAAAGTACCCAAACGCATTACTTCCAATTTAGAGTTAATTTTAAAAATGTAATTTATTTATTTTTCTATGTAGATTATTATTAAAATAAAAAACAAATAATTTTGTTTCATTTCCAAAATGAATTCCAAAAAAATTAAACTGGGATAAATTGTTGATAAAATAATTATTAGTAATTTAAGCATTCCATTTACATAATAATTATATAAATATTAACTGTACACCTTATACGTGTATACCCCATGAATATAGCGTAAATTGTAAAATACATTTTATATTTAATATTTTAAGACGTCTTTGTGATAAATTCATACTGTAAAAATTAAAAAAAAATTTAATATTAATAAAAAAAAAATAGAAAATAAAATCAATTACATATGTGTAGAAAGAAACTATCAAATATCAATAATAATCGTAATGACATAAGAATCCAGGACACCAATCAGCCCTTAAATTAAGCACAACAAAAATACTTGGTAAATTTTCATTACTCGCTGTAGCGCAATCTATACTTCGCAAAATGAAAATTATTCACATACAATATTTATTAAATTCAATATTTCGTTCAATATTTTTATAATTTGGAATAGTTAATGCTGAAATTGATTTACGTTCTTGGATTCTTAATGTCTTAATTGATCATTAATTGATAGTGATATTTTAATAAATAAGACCTATACATTCATTATAATATTGTAAATAAATTTCCAATTAAAATGAAAAAGAGAATCATAAATATTAACAAAATTTTTTTTTTAGTCTTAAGAAATATTTGTAAATTTATTTAGATATTAAGGCCTAAATAATATTAAAAATATGTTCACAATTTTAAGAAATCACTTCTTACACAGAAGGATATCATAAATTTTTATGTCCCAAAATTGTACACTTTTAAATTCCTTGTCGTTGTGGTAATTCCGAAGGGCGAATCACTCAATAATAAATTTAAATCTAAAGTACCAAATTCAATATTTTACAGAGGAGCAAATAAGCTTTTTTAAATAACATTTGAGTATTTGAACAACAGGTCGTTCATTTATCATCAAATGGCTAATATACTTAGCATATTTTTGCATTACTTTTTGCAATATAAACAATCTAAGAAAACACTTAGTCTTTTTTTGCTACTTCGATTTTGCATTTTACTTATTCCAACCACACTGATCTCGCAAATTAATGAACATACGACACTGAATTCTATTCCACATAAAGAGAACCTTTCCAAATTACTAAATAGATTTATCCTTTATATATTTACTATAAGTAATATAACATAAAAGGTTTTCAATTATAAAAATACATCCGTGTCTTAACTTATACTTATAGTAATAATATGAAGCGATAAATAAATACAAGAAAACTAGTTTTATGAAAATTATTATAATTATGATATCCTTTTGCCCATTTTGCAAACGTATCAAATAATGACATCCTCAAATTCTAATTTTATCAAATTGTAATCATTTATTTTGTAAATAATTGAATTAAGCTGGTCATAGGCTTCTAATATATTATACATATAATAAAAATAAATAATTTCATTACAGTTCACAAAAATAATGGTTAGTTTCCTATAATAGTAAGCGAAGAGAAAAGTGATGGCTTTAGTAAATATTCTTTTTTCATTTTACAAAAAACAAAATAAACAAAAACACTTTTTTAATAATTATAAATTTGAATTTTGAAAATTCTTTAGTCTCTCATTTTAATTATTATTAAAATTTAGCAATTTTGAAATTATTTTTATTGCCCCATAATAACCTAAAGAAATTTTGATGTAATTGACTTTGTAATATTGTAAAATAATAGAATCCCAATGAAATTTTTGTTTACATTAGAAGGAATTTTAGAATTTAATTAATTTCTAAATTAATTTCTAATTTAAAATTTTTATAAAATTCAATTACCATTTTAGTAGACTTGTTCACCAATAGCATTTTATTAATTTTGTGTTTTACTTTAAAATTAATTTTTAAAATTTAAATTAAAGTTGTGATTCCATTAATAATTCTGACAATTTTTTTATACTTTATTCACAATATCTAGCTGGAATTTTATATTTGAATATTTCTGGAAAATATTCTTTTCAAATTATTTGTTATTGTGAATTTAATTTAGTTTTTATTGTACTATAATTGTGAGAAATTTTCAGTTTCCATTTGAATGTCTTGTAAATCTATAGGAATTTCTCTTAGAACATGATAACAACATTCTTGATAAAAAGAAGTTATGAATGCATACTTGAAACTTTAAGCTCTTTCTGATGCAAGTAAAATAAATTTAATTTCAGTAGTTTTAAAAAAATATCTTGAAAAATGTTATACATGCCTAACTAACTAAAATTGCTCCAAAAAATTTTCGAGATCATAAAATTTTCTAAGAGTACGTTGAATATAGATATGTCATGTTGTAAGCTTTTGAAATGTAAATGTATTCTAGTTTCGATTCAAGTTGAAAATGAAAAATCTGCCCATAATTCATTCATACATTTCATATTCAATTGTTCATATTGGCATTTTTCATATAAGCAAAATGGAGGTTTTTAATCATTCACAACTATGTAGATAAGTGAACTTATATTGAAAGTAATTGCAATTGGGAAAGTGTACAATTTGTATATCTAATTCAATTTAGAAAAATTTGTCAAAACTTTAATGCCATATAATATTTAGTAGGAACATTTGAGAATGCTAACTTTTTAAACCATCTTCACTAAATTTCACTAGTTTTGTAAAACAAAAAGAATACAAAAAGAATTCAATTGTGTTTTATTCGAAATAGCAATAATGTAGACATCATGTTCTGAGAACCCTAGAAATACACGACTCCGAAAATTTAAAAACACAATTATACTCCTAGATTATCTTGCAATTATTCTCCTAGCAAAGCTCATTAGTATTGCTAAATTTGGAATTTCTTTTGAGTTAAATTTCAATAGATTGGATTGTAGACCAAGAATAACAATATTCTTCTGTACTAGTTTAAGTAATAAGCATATTGCATCATACATACATAAATTGTTTCAGCGCTTTTGCTTTCCTCATGAGAACTTAAAAACTCATATTTCAAACAAATTCTTTATAAATAATTTTCATTTTTATAAAAACAAAAGAAAAATCATAGAAAATTTTAAAAAATTTCATTACCATTTCTTTTACATTTTTACAATAAACGATGCCCTTAAATCTATCTTTATTTTTGAAGGGTATAATTTATAATATTTAAAATTGTTAATAATTTTGTTTTTAAAATAAAACTTTATTTTATTCTACAGGTTATCTGAAATCAAAATTTTATAATTCGCGACAAAATTCCAAAACCTACATAAAAAAGCATATGGCACAAGGTTGAATAGAGCATAGTAGATGAAATTTTTTTTGTTATCCACTATTAAAAATTGAATCTCAATTAGCCTCTTATCAATAAATTAATGTTTTATTTTTTAAAAATAAATATTAACAGAGAGGTTGAACTATATATAAATTTAGATGAATCAAATTGTGTAAAGTATTAATTTTACATATTGTACGCTCTTTAAAAACTGCGCGATCTACAATGATGCCATCATATGAAATGCATATTAGAGGAGAAAGAAACTCTTATAAGTTCAAGAAGTATTATTACAATAAAAACATAGCTAGATAGATTAAACAGATTAAACATCAATAATTGAGAAAATAAAAATCATACTGTTGGAATTTAGTTGATTTGTTTTAGAAACTCTAAAAGAATCTAATACAATTTTTTTAATAAAATAAAATTCTACAGCAATGTAAGCAAAGAAATAAAGGATTTCTGTTTTCGTCTATTTCAAATTCATTAAAGTTCATATTTTTTACTTATATATGTATGTACGTGTGTATATTATAGGATGAAAGCGGTGAGGAACAAAATGATTTAAATTTTAAAATAAATCTGAAAGTGGTACGCGAAAGTTGTACGCGAAGAATCTTTAATACTGTAATGAAAAATGAAGAGGAAAATTTTATGATTTAAGCCACTTTGGTTCTCATTGTTTTGTACATGAAAAAAAAAATAACTGTGTATATATTATATAAAATAGTAAATTCAATAAATTATGATAAAAAAAAATTTAGTATTTTTAGTTTCCTTGTCATGCTTAAAACTTTCATTTTAATTCTGTATTTCCGATGGTCCTTGGAAACGGAAGAGGCAACGGAAATACAGAATGCCTTTTGGAAACCTTTTGGAGTGTGAATTAAATACAATAATATATTTTCCAAATTTTGTTGAGCTATGTAAATCTCGGCCATGTTATTAGGATGTTTGTGGAATTTTCCTCGTAAAGTTTTTCATTTGAAAACAAAATCGCTTATAATCAAAAATTTCTCAGGGTATTTCATGACTACAATTGCTCCGTTTTAAAATTTAAAAGTAAAAAAAATTAACTCAAGTTTATTTCTTTTCCCTTTAGTGATTCTAAGAGAACATAGTAAGAACAACCTGGCAAGACCACAAATATTTTGCTAAATCAAAATAGTAAATCCTCAATTATTTTAACGTAAAATTGTCTTGCACGGATTTTTTTGACTTTTACACTAAGGTGCATAATAATTTTGTATAGCATATGCTTACATTTAACTTCACTGTAAAAAAAGTTTATAACCAAAGTTGATCTAAGCTAATCTGAAGTACATTTTACGTAAATAGAAAATAAAAACTTTTGGGAAATCAATAAAAATGAATTTATGATGAAAGTTTAAAACAG